ACACCACTGCACTCCAGCCTGGGTGACAGACCGAGACTCTGTCTCAAAAAAAAAAAAAAAAGTATAGACAGGGTCTTGCTCTGTCACTGAGGTTAGAGTGCAGTGGTGCAATCATAGCTCACTGCAGCCTTGAACTTCTGGGCTCAAGCCATCTCCTGCCTCAGCCTCCTGAGTAGCTGGGGGACTACAGGCATGCACCACCACATCTGGCTTTTTTTTTTTTTTCTTGGTAGAGATGGAGTCTTGCTATGTTGTCAAGGCTTGAACTCCTGACCTCAAGTGATTCTTCCACCTCAGCCTCCAAAAGTGCTGGGATTACAGGCATGAACTTCCACACCTGGCTTTAGTTACTATCATTATTAACCCATGCCTCAGCCGTGACCATGACATCCCTCCACCCTGCTTGACTGTGGTCATGCCTTACCTGGTGAGATGCCAGCTCTGCTACTGAGTGGACGCCATTTCAGAGATTTCAGCGGGGGGCTCTTCTCTCTGTCAGGGTCATCTTTAATGCTCTAGAAAACAGGTGGTCTTTCCCGTCAGAGGAGTGTTCCCTGTGGCAGGCAGGGCCTCAGTTACCCCGACCTCAATCTGTCCATGAGGAACTTTTGCAGGGAGGAGCCTAAGGGAGGGGACTCCTCAGATAGGTTTGGCCCCTCTCCTGCAGCAGATTCAGAGGGGACTCTGGATTTTGAGGTGAAAAAGTATGGGTGTGTACATGTGTATATGAGTGTATATGCATGTGTGTGCATGTGCATATGTGTATGTATGCATGTGTATGTGTGTGAGATGACAGTGAGACAGCTGCTAGTGAGAGAGCTATGGGGGTTTGCCAGAACTTTCTTCATCAGTTACCTGCCCCTCTTCCTAATGGACTGGGATGTCTGGGCTTCCAGCATGACAACAGAAATTTAGGTAACTTCTGTGCCTTATCAGGCACCTCAGTTTTTTTTTGTTTGTTTGTTTTCTTTTTTAAGATGGAGTCTGGCTCTGTCACCCAGGCTGGAGTGCAGCAGCATGATCTCAGATCACTGCAAGCTCTGCCTCCCAGGTTCAAGCAATTCTCCCTGCCTCAGCCTCCCGAGTAGCTGGGATTACAGGTGCGCGCCATCACACCCGGCTAATTTTTGTATTTTTAGTAGAGAGGGGGTTTCACCATGTTGGCCAGGATGGTCTCGATCTCTTGACCTCGTGATCCGCCTGCCTCGGCCTCCCAAAGTGCTGGGATCACAGGTGTGAGCCACTGAGCCTGGCCCAGGCATCTGTTTTAAGGGAAGAGTTCCTTCATTCTCAGCCATGACCGGAGTGTGATGGTCATTAAAAAGTCACTCTCTGGGGAGCACCCCCCCTGGTTTCAGGAGGCACTCAGGAAGCACTGGAGGCTCAAGAGGCAGCCCCTGAGGAGGAGGTGAAGTGCCTGAGCTGGCTCCTGAAACCTGGTGGAGTTCCCCGAACGAGGGCAGAGCCTGGCTGCACAGGCTCTCCTGGAAAGGCAGCCCTTTGACTGGGAATCTGCTACCTACGGTCTGGGATGGATTTCCACATTCTGAACATGGGCTGCACTCACAGGGTCTGAGTCATGCAATGCTGAGGGACTCACAGGTGTCCCTCCCAGTCTGCTCACAAGCACAGGTGCCTCTGAGGTCTTTCCTCTAGAGCCCTTCTGACTTCCAAGGTGGGTGGGTACTTAATGGAGGACAGAATTGACAGGCTGTGAATGGGGATAAACCCCTAGCAGGTGCAGCCCACCCTCAGGCTCCTATCGGCCCCTCCAAAGTCTTAGGCGGCAGTGGGAAGAGCCCTTAGAGACCCTAATTCCTTTGCCTCCAAGAGACCCTCCAGGATAAGCCATCAGATGAAACAGGTGGGTGTCAATTCTGTGGCATCCTCAGTACCAGGGTAGGGAAAAGCCTGGGATAAGCTGGCAGAGCCAAGGGTGGGGTGGAGGAGGCCAGAGGAGCCCCAGAGCTGAGGAGCCGGCCCCCCGGGGGAGATTTTCCCCCAGAGGCCTGGGCAAGAGGCACCCACCCCATCCCTGCTGGCCCCAGCCATTGTAAGACCCAGGAAAGACCAGAAGACAAACAGGAAACCAAATCTTCCACGTGTTATTAGGAGGGGAGTCAAACCATTCTGGCCCCGACGGGGGCGGTGGGCCTGGGAGGGCAGAGCTTCTTGGGCTGACTTCTTAGCTGAAGTGTCTTTGGTTTTTCTTTCAGGAGGGCTGCACTTCCCAGTACTTTTCTTGAATGGTTCTTCAGGGAGGCCATGAGGAAGGCACACTGCAGTGGGATTGGGAGGGTCAGTGGCATCCCCAGCCACTGTGGACACACACACACACAGAGAGAGAGAGAGAGAGAGAGAGCAGAAGGGACTGTATCCACTGAAACCTCTGACATCCCCTGGATTCCTCTTTTCATCCCTAGAAAGCCACCTAGGGCTAAGAGTGCTATGGACCAATCCTATGAACAACAGTAAGGACCAGGTATGGGGGCCTGGGAGGCACAGGCTCTGGGTTAGTGAATACTTGGGAGTCTCCAACCCTCATGCCAACAAGTCACGTCAGCTACGCCAATAGGGTAGGTGCTGTCATCTCCCCATTTTACACATGAGGAAACCAAAGCTCTGAAGCTGTCATCACAGAGTTAACAAGAATTCTGGACAAAAATCTAGTTATCATGAAGCCCTGATCAGGCTGCGCATAGCCCCACTTCTTTGTAACCTAAAGTCACATAGCACCAGATCCTGGCTGTTTGCATCCCCATTGTTCCTCTAGATAGGATTTCTGATGTCAAAATCACAAAGCTTTTGTTTAAGAATTGCTTAAGATGTTTTTCAGACTCGAATTCCAGCAAAGTAGCTGATGCCAACCAGTTTGAAGACCCCCTGAGGAACAGGAACAGCATGAAAACACAGCTTCTTCATCTCCCCCGCCCATGACTCCAGCCTGCACTCAACTAGTCGACCTCCACACTTCAGCCCACTGCAATACCCTTAAAAACCTTAATGTCAAATTCCCCGGGGAGATGGATTTGAGGTTCCCTCCCATCTCCTCGTTTGGCCGTTCTACAATTGAACATTTTTTCCTCTGCCACAACCCAGTGTCTCTGCGCATTGACTTGCCATGCATATCTGGCAACAGATCTATTAGTTACAGCTCTGTGAGCTTAAGGTTCTCATCTAAGGCCACCTTATCAGTGTGTAGAGAAACTTCAATTCAAACCAGGTGGGTCTGGTTCCAAAGCCAGCACCCTTCCATTGTGAGACACTGTGGCCTCCACTTGTGGGCCGGTCAGCCTGACTGGTTCCCCAGCAATTATTCTCAATCAAAGCTCCAGAAGACACCACTCAAATGTAAATAAGCATCCTCTGCAAAGGTAAATCACACAGTCATTGCCCATTAACATCATATGAATGAGTTTATCAGATGAGGGAATGGGACTGCGTGCACCCGAGGGTAAGGGATATTTCTTTATTATTTATTTATTTATTTTGAGACGGAGTCTCACTCTGTCACCAGGCTGGAGTGCAGTGGCGTGATCTCAGCTCACTGCAACCTCTGCCTCCCAGGTTCAAGGATTCTCTTGCCTCAGCCTCCAGAATAGCTGGGATTACAGGTGCACACCACTACACCCAGCTAGTGTGTGTGTGTGTGTGTGTGTGTGTGTGTATTTTTAGTAGAGACGGGGTTTCACCATGTTAGCCACGATGGTCTCGATCTCCTGACCTTGAGATCTGCCCGCCTCGGCCTTCCAAAGTGCTAGGATTACAGGCGTAAGCCACTGCGCCCAGCCGGGAAGGGGTATTTTAAAAGCACCAAAAGGGTCCCTTTTGGGGAAGACAGCACAGGCACGCAAGGGGAGTCACAGATCTGCAGATCCAGTGGCCACAGAGGAATAGAAGATGGAGACGTGGCCCCGCCCTCCCAGGAGTCCACAGTTGTCTGGGAAGTGAGTCCTTCTGCGAGTGGTGGAGTCCAGGAGTCTCCTTCACAGGCTCCTCCACTCCATTGCCTCGACCACATCCTTGCTAAGTGCCCTCTGTCCATTATTGCGGCTTAACCTGCCCCAAATCTCCATCTCCAGCCATGTCTTTTCCCACCTGCCTGTAGGGTACCCTCACTTGTCATCTCGCAGGCTCCACAAACTCACCCTTGTCCCAGACCAGCCTTCCCTGCACCATCCTTCCATGGGCTTTTCCTCCTGTTTTCTCCATCTTGGTCAATGGCCTCACTGTCTACTGGGTGCCCCAGTGAGGAGCGTGGGGGTCACTTTGGATGTCTTCTCTTCCACACTGCCTCTTCAATCACTTGCAAGTCCAGGGAATTCTTCCTTAGATGTTCATTGCTCCTCACGTGATCTGGCCCCTAGCTACCTCTCTCATTGTATCTTGTCCTGCTCAACTCCTCTCTCTGAGGAAGTAACATTTTAGTCTCAAAGGACTCCCACCTTGACCAAACTTTAGCCAGGCTCCTCTAAACCATCTTCTCAATGACGCCTTGACCTTGGCCTGCTGAACTCAGTTTTGGCAAAGAATTCTGCTAAGTCAGTTTAGTGAGACCTGTCCCATCCTTGATATCCAATCAAGTTGCTCATCTCCCATCTGAGATATCTTTTTTTTTTTTTTTTTAATGATTTTTAGAAAATTCTTTAATAGAGATGGGGTTTTACCATGCTGCCGAGGCTGGTCTCAAACTCCTGGGCTCCTGCATCAGCCTGCCTCGGCCTCCCAAAGTGCTGGGATTACAGGTGAGAGCCACTGTGCCCAGTTCTATTTTTGATATCTAAGCCTTTGGTCTGCCTTTAGCAAGAGCCCTGTTTAACAAGAATCCTTTTACCTATCATATTTATCCAGTTCTCTTAGTAATTTTCCATCCACTGACTCTGCTCGTTGGCTATACATCTCCAGCTATTTTGCTATTATTTAGAGTTGAGTTCAGTCTCTCTCCACTATTGCAACAGTCTTAAATAAAGTCTTCCTTGCCATTTTAAAAGAGCAACCAGTGCAATTAAAAACAAACAGACACCAATTGCCACCAGAAGCCAGGGAGGGGCAAGGAAAGATTCTACCCAGAGCCTTCAGAGGGAGCCTGGCCCTGCTGACACCTTGATTTCAGACTTCCAGCCTCTGGAAGTGAGAGAATCAATGGTTGTTATTTTAAGCCACCCAATTTGTGGCAGTTATGGTAGCCCCAGGAAATGAATACAGAAGGCAGTGCAGTCATTGGCCCATGCCCAGGGCATACCTTTTGGGAGTAGTTGAGAGCCTTTTCCATCTCAGACATGATGGAACTGATGTCATCGCTCTCATAAATGCCTGGAAACAAAGCACATCGTGAGCATGGGAGACAGGGTGTGGATCCTGGCAAGTATCCCCATCATTTTGATACTAGAAAGCCACCTGGAGGTGACTCAAGGGCTGGGCGTGGTGGCTCACTCCTGTAATCCCAGCACTTTGGGAGGCTGAAAAGGGAGGATTGCTTGAGGTTGGGAGTTCAAGACCAGCCTGGGCAACAGAGTTAGACCCTTTCTCTATCAAAAAATTTAAGAAATTAGTCGGGTGTGGTGGTGGACATCTGTAGTCCTAGCTGCTCAGGAGCTGGTGGGAGGGGTGGGAGGATTGCTTGAGTTCAGGAGGTTGAGGCTGCAGTGAAGTATGATGGCACCACTGCACTCCAGCCTGGGTGACAGAGAGAGACCCTGTCTCTAAAAAAAATGTTGCTTTGTGTACCATGTACTACTATCCTGCCAACCATGTGCTGTGAACATACCACCCTTCAAAAAGCAATCTAAGGGATGTTTAGGGTGCCTTCTAGCGCTGACATTCTAAAATACATATATTTTTAATTTTTAATTTTTTTGTAGAGGCAGAGTCTTGCTATGTTGCCCAGGATGGTCTCGGACTGGCCTCAAACAATCCGCTTACCTCAACTTTCCAAAGTGCTGAGATTACAGGTGTGAGCCACCACCTGACCCATAATATACTTTCAGAGTTTTACTTCTTCTTCTTCTTTTTTTTTTTTTGAAATAGAGTCTTGCTCTGTCACCCAGGCTGGAGGGTAGTGGCGTGATCTCTGCTCACTGCAACCTCTGCTTCCTGGGTTCAAGCAATTCTGTTGTACCTCAGCCTCCTGAGTAGCTGGGTACCAACACACCCAGCTAATTTTTTGTATTTTTAATAGAGACAGGTTTTCACCATGTTGGCAGGGCTAGTCTCAAAGTCTTGACCTCAAGTGATCTGACCGCCTTGGCCTCTCAAAGTGCTGGGATTATGGGTATGAGCCACTGTGTCCGGCCTATTTTTTTAACTTAAAAAAATTGCAGTAAAATATACATAACATCAAACTTCCTAGTTCAATCACTTAAAAGTGTACAATTCAGTGGCATTAAGTGCATTCACATTGTTGTGCAACCATCACTGCTATCTATCTTCAGAGGAATAGTTTTACATTTTAAAATGTGATTTTCACAAGCTGCTTTTCTGGAATATATCTGTGGTCTAAGGGAGCTATGCTGGTGCTGAGGCAACTGTTTGGAATGAGCCAAAGGGATGAGGAAACACTCATGTACCTGTGTCTCCAAACCAGTGGAAGCGGCCACCTGCAGCCCGGGTGACCTCCTTGTAGGCGGCGGCCGTGTCAGTGCGACTGGCATAGCAGGCAGGGGGCGTGGTGTCCATCTTTGGCTCGCCCACGTAGAAGAGACACACGTTCAGCTGGAGGTCGCAGCCACTACAGGCCTCGGCCATGTAGGCGCTGATTGTAGGCTGGTGGGGAAGAGAAGGTAAGAGGGGCCCGCAGCTGAGGGCCTTGAAGTTGTGGGGCTCCGGGCAGCCCAGCCTGGCTATGTTTCTCCAGGGCCTTCTCTGTGCCTGGTCCAGTCCTTGGCACAAGGATGGAAAGAGATGAACCTGGGTTGCAGTTTCTCTCAATATATTTTTTTTTAATTTTTTTTTTTATTATTATACTTTAAGTTCTGGGGTACATGTGCACAACGTGCAGGTTTGTTACATATGTATACATGTGCCATGTTGGTGTGCTGTACCCATTAACTCGTTATTTACATTAGGTATATCTCCTAATGCTATCCCTCCCCCTCCCTCCACCCTACAACAGGCCCCCGTGTGTGATGTTCCCCTTCCTGTGTCCAAGTGATCTCACTGTTCAATTCCCATCTCTCAATATTTTAACAGAGTGTGGTCGGGAGCTGGACCTGAGAGCCTCCTGACACCAGGCGTGGTCTAGACCAGTAGCATCCGCATTCCCTGGAAGCCTGCTAGAAATGCAGACTCCCCGGCCCCATCCCAGACCTACTAAACCAGGATCTGCACTATGTATGTATGTATGTGTGTATGTATGTATATATTTTAAAGAGACAGGGTCTTGCTCTGTTGCCCAGGCTGGAGTGCAGGGGCATGATCATAGCTTACTGCAGCTTTGACCTCCTGGGCTTAAGCAATCCTTCTCCCTCAGCCTCCTAAGTAGCTGTGACTACAGGCACACGTCACCACACTTTTTTTTTTTGAGACGGAGTTTCATTCTTTTTGCCCAGGTTGGAGTGCAATGGCATGATCTTGGCTCACCACAACCTCCCGCTCCAGGGTTCAAGTGATTCTCCTGCCTCAGCCTCCCGAGTAGGTGGGATTACAGGCATGCGCCACCACACCTGGCTAATTTTGTATTTTTAGTAGAGATGGGGTTTCTCCATGTTGGTCAAGGTGACCTCAAACTCCCAACTTCAGATGATCTACCTGCCTCAGCCTCCCAAAGTGCTGGGATTACAGGCATGAGCCACCACGCCTGGCTACATCTGGTTAATTTTTTAAATTTTATTTTTGTAGAGATGGGGTCTTGCTATGTTGCCCAGGCTGGTCTCGAGCACCTGAGCTCAAGCGATCCTCCCACCCCAGCCTCCTGAGTAGCTGGGACTACAGGCATGTGCCACCATGGCAGGTTATTTTTAAAATTTTTGTAGAAATGTGGTCTCCCTATGTTGCCCAATCTGGTCTCCAGGGCCTGCATTTTAATGGCATCCTTAGGTGCCTGTCTATACATTAAAGTTTGAGAAGCACTGCTTTAGAAATCATGCTGCAGAAAGCTTGGCGAGGTATCCACCTGGGGGAAGATGGATGAGGTCGCAAAGGATAATGGACATCCAGGACGTGGCCTACCCACCATGTCCTGGTCAGGGATGCCCCCAGTGAAGAGGTAGATTCCCTGCGATTGGTGTTTGTCTTTGTCCTTGAAGTCCACTTCCACAGCCTTCCGCAGGGCGCTGAGAACATTCCTGCTGCCCCAACACCGCAGGTTCAGAGCCCACCTGGGGAGGCAGAGATGGCCACGCTGAGGGTCACTGGCCCATGCCTAGGGCATACCTTTTGGGAGTAGGTGAGAGCCTTTGCCATCTCAGACGTGATGGAGTTGATGTCATCACTCTCACAAAGTGAAGACGGCCAGGTGGGGAGAGCACCAGATAGAAGGAAGCTGTTTTCTGATTTCTGCCCATGGCTGTTTGGGGTCAGGGACTCTAGAGAGCTACTTCCTGGTGGAGAGGGGGACAGAGAAAACAACGCCTGCAAGCCTTCCCTCAGACACAGCCCCACAAAGTCTCTGCCCATCACCTACCGCCAGGCACTTTGTAAATTGTCGTGGCTCATGGGAACCATCTCAGGCCTCCAGCTTTCACTTGTGCTTCCAAACCTTTAAGAAGCAAAGAGAGTTCATTCTTAGGCTGGGGGAGGTCCACTTGGCGGCCCAGCTCTTTGGGCTTTGCAGGCTTTTAGTGGGGACAAAATTCTGATGAGATCCCCTAAAATGTGAGGATGTCACTGGCCTGGGCTAGCCTTGAGATTTCCTTGCAGGTCATATGTCCCAACATACTTCAGCCGAGACACGGCGTGAGCCAGCTTTGGTCCGCTTTCTTTCTGAAGCGTTGAGCTATGGCGTGTGGCCCCATTTAACCTCCCCTAGCATGGCTCCACATTTCTCTTCCCTATCCATACTATAGTTTTTTTGTTTTTTTTTTTTGAGACAGAGTCTTGCTTTGTTGCCCAGGCTGGAGTGCAGTGGTGGGATCTCCGCTCACTGCAAGCTCTGCCTCCCGGGTTCACGCCATTCTCCTGCCTTAGCCTCCCGAGTAGCTGGAATTACAGGTGCCTGCCATCACGCCCAGCTAATTTTTTTTGTATTATTAGTAGAGATAGAGTTTCACCGTGTTAGCCAGGATGGTCTCGATCTCCTGACCTTGTGATCTGCCCGTCTCAGTCTCCCAAAGTGCTGTTTGTTTTGTTTTTTTAAATACACGTCTATGTAATCAACAGGATTTGGTAAAGAAAAAAAATACACATCTAGCCTGGGCAGTATAGCAAGACCCCATTTCTACAAAATAAAATTAGCTGGGTATAGTGGCACATGTCTGTTGACCTAGCTACTTAGGAGGTTGAGGTGGGAGGATCACTTGAGTCCAGGAGGCTGAGGCTGTAGTGAGCTATGATTGTGCCACTGCACTCCAGCCTGGGCAACAGAGTGAGACCCCGTCTCAAAAAACAAACAAATAAACCCCCAAATCCAGAAAACCCACATTGTCTCATTTGTCCTGTAAGACAGAATTTAAGATCCTTTGGAAGGGGATTTATACTCTTTATGAATGAAAAGTTGTCCCCTCTCTAGTTTGAGATTAATTCCTCCACCTGGCCTTTGACCTCATCATCACCCATCTCTTCTGAAACTTTGCCCCCCAGTTCCACCCTCACATCCACACATTCCCAACTTCTCTCCACTTCCCTCTGCCCCCAGCACCTCTCTACCTGTTTCAGACTCTCTATACTTGACAAGAACATCCTCCTTCCACTGGGAAGCTACTCTATGGGCAACTTCGCTCTTTCCTCTTTCCCCTTGTGGACAAGCTCCCTGGAAACACAATATACCACCACTTCCTCACCTCTTCAACCCATTGCAGTCAAACTTCCACCCTGGGGGTGTTCTCTGGTAGAGATGAACAATGCCCTCCATTCCCCCACCAGTGGAAATATATCCCTATTATCGCTGGATAATAAATCTGGGTTCAAGTGATTCTTACGCCTCAGCTACTGGAGTAGCTGGGATTATAGGCCTGTACCACTGAGACCCACTTATTTTTGTATTTTTAGTAGATGGGGTTTCACCACGTCGGCCAGGCTGGTCTCGAACTCCTGGCTTCAAGTGATCCACCTGCCTTGACCTCTCAAAGTGCTGGGATTACAGGAGTGAGCCACCGCGCCCGACCTTCATATACTCCTTTATAGCAGTGCAGGAACGGACTAACATAGCATCCCAACACCTTTCTCTCTTGTTTTCCTCCCACCTCTCTGGGTTCTCCTTCCCTGTGTTCCTTTGGTGGTTCCCTTCTTCTGCCCACCCTTCAAATGCTGGTATTTCCCAAGTGCTGCCTTTGATTGTCTTCTCTCTCCCCTCGCACCTCTCCACAGGTGCGATCCCTGCACTACCATTTATTTCATTCATATAATTAAAATGCTGGTGGCTCAAAACCCCTTGTTTCTTGGCTAGGTCTCCTCACTGGAGCTCCTTCTCCTCCTAATGTTCTCCAAACTCTGGAGTGTCTCAGACTCTGGATGTTTAAAACCATCTTTCCCTTCAGAGATCTGTTCTTGGGCATCATCTTCTCTTTACCATTCTTTCACCCCCTACAGCCAGGGACGACATTCTGTAGATTCTAACTCCCCAAAATCTTTTCCATGCACCTTTTTTTTTGAGACGGAGTTTTGCTCTGTTGCCAGGCTGGACTGCAGTGGCACGATCTCAGCTCACTGCAAGCTCCACCTCCTGGGTTCATGCCATTCTCCTGCCTCAGCCTCCTGAGAAGCTGGGACTACAAGTGCCCGCCACCACGCCTGGCTAATTTTTTTGTATTTTTAGTGGAGACGGGGTTTCACCATGTTAGCCAGCATGGTCTTGATCTCCTGACCTCGTGATCTGCCCACCTTGGCCTCTCAAAGTGCTGGGATTACAGGCGTGAGCCACTGTGCCCAGTCTCCATGCACCTCTTTCTTGATTAACTTTTATTTTGGGCTCAGGAGTATGTGTGCAGGCTTGTTATATAGGTAAACTCCTGTCATGGGCGTTTGTTATATAGATTATTTCATCACGCAGGTATTAAGCCTAGTACCCATCAGTTATTTTTCCTGATCTCCTTCCTCTCACCCACACCCTCCAATAGGCCCCAGTGTGTGTTTTCCCCTTTATGTGTCCATGTGTTTTCATCATTTAGCTCCAACTTATAAGTAAGAATATGCTGTACTTGGTTTTCTATTGCTGTGTTAGTTTGCTAGGGATTATGGCCTCCAGCTCTACACATGTTCCTGCAAAGAACATGATCTCATTCTTTTTTATGGCTGCATAGTATTCCATGGCATATGCGTACCACATTTTCTTTATCCAGTCTACCACTGTTGGGCATTTACATTGATTCCATCTCTTGCTATTGTTAATAGTGCTGCAATGCACATATATGTGCATTCGTCTTTATGATAGAATGATTTATATTCCTTTGGGTATGTACTCAGGGATGGGACTGCTGGTTTGAATGGTAGTTCTGTTTTTAGGTCTTTGAGGAATCATCATACTGCTTTCCACCATGGTTGAACTAATTTACACTCCCAACAAGTGTGTAATTGTTCCTTTTTCTCTGAAACCTCGCCAGCACCTGTTATTTTTTGACTTTAATAATGGCCATTCTTACTGGCCACACACTATTTCTTCCATTCACAATGCCTTGGCTTAAGCCCACTCAACACTAGGGCAGGCAATTGCAAGAGTCAAACTGGTCTCTTCCCTCCGGTATTACATCCCTTCAGTTCCTCCTTCACAGCACTGCTCGAGCATTTGAAGATGCAAACCTGATCGTATTAGTACCTTGCTTGCAATCCTCCAGTGCCTTTATATCCTATAGCACAAGAAACTCATGAGCATGGCCTATATCAATCCTCCATCACCTGTTATTTCTGTCATGCACATTCTCTCCCTCTCACCCCCATATCCATGCTGAACTACCTGATGGTCCCTAAAGCTCTAACATACCTCACGCTCCTGCTCATGCTGTTGCCTCTACCTGGAACACCATTTCTCCCTATCCCATCATTCTCAGGTGCTAGGCAAACACCTACTCATTCATCAAGACTCAGCGGAAGGGGCACTTGCTCCATGAAGATGTCCTGAGCCTACTCCTCACAGGTGGAATGAACTGATCCTGCCACTGATACCTTGCAGTCCCATACCTAGCTATCTACTCATTTCTGTAGAAAACACTTAATAGCACTTCTTAACATCCCTGTCTCCCACTGTTAGGCTGTGAGTTCCTCGAGGATGGGTTTTGTGTGTCTTCATGTCCATCTCCCCAGTGCCTGGCACAGGGACTGGTTCATGGCAGATTGTCAATGAAACATTGCTGAATGAATGAATGGGTAGATGAATAAATAAAATTCCTTGTCTATAATGTTACCATAAATATTTTTCTGTAGAGTTTATTAGGGAATGATTGGGCTCTGGTACAGAATAATATCTAATACTAACTGTTGACTTAATAGGTTTAGAAAATGCCCTATTTGGTTTGAGGTTGTATAAAAATCTACTCTTTAAGTGGGTTCCTTTTCTCTCTGTCTTCCCTTGTTAGTTAAAATAGTATGCAATTTTAAAAATTGTATATATAGTTTTTATGGCTGGGCTCAGTGGCTCAAGCCTGTAATCCCAGCACTTTGGGAGGCTGAGGCAGGAGGATCACTTGAGGTTAGGGGTTCGAGATCAGCCTGGCCAACATGGTGAAACTCCGTCTCTACTAGAAATACAAAGATTAGCTAGGTGTGGTGGTGTGTGCCTGTAGACCCAGCTACTTGGGAAGCTGAGGTAGAAGAATTGCTTGAACCTGGGAGGAGGAGGCTGCAGTGAACTGAGATCAAGCCACTGCACTCCAGTCTGGGAAACAGAGTGAGACTCCATCTCAAAACAAAAACAAAAACACAAACAAAAACAAACTATATATATATAGTTTTTAAATTAAAAATGCTAGATATGTACTATAATTACATATAATATACAATTTTAAAACTATATTAACATTTTAAAACTATATATACTATATATAATTTTAAAACTATACATAAATTTGAAGAAAGTTCAAATCTTCAAAACCTCTCTGATCTTCATTGTATTTAATTCCAAACTATACAGTTTTAAAAATTGCATACAATTTATATATATATATACACACACACATAATTAAATGCATATGTATAATTTTTATTTATTAAAACAGAGATGGGGTCTCACTATGTTGCCCAGACTGGTCTCAAACTCCTGGATGCAAATGATCCTCTGTCTCGGCCTCCCGAGGTGCTGGGATTACAGGTGTGAGCCACTGCACCCGGCCAAATTTATATATACAATTTTAATTTAAATTTAGAATTGGAATCCTAAATGTTTGAAAAGGTGGGGCTTGCTGGAGTCAGGCTGAGGACTGAGACTAAGGCATGGCTGGAGTCCTTCCTTTCCTCTTCTGCCTGTTTTGTCTTGGAAGCCAAATGGGCCAATGGGCTGAATTACTTTATCCTGGTTGATCAAGCAGTGTGTTTTGGGGTCACTTATCACCTTTGCCCCAGTAGGACAGTCCTGTAACCATTTAATTATTCAATGCTTCAAACAAGATCATCCAAATCAGATAAACCGATGGCTATCCTAGGAGGCCGGGTGACCATGACGTCAATATCTGTCGTCTGGCAATGTCCAAAGCCTCAGCATAACGATGACATCCAAACACACACAACCAACCCTTGCCCCCAGGAGCCAGGAGACACGTACGCGATGAGGTTGAAGTAGTCCTTGTTGGATAACTGCTCCTCCAGCAGCAGCCGCAGGGAGTGCTGGATATGAATAATGTACATGGAATTGGTCGCAGAGATATCGAGCAGTACAACCACCCTAAAAGGAAACACGAGCTTTAAGAGGAGAACTGAATCTCTGAGATAATGTTAATTTTGTTCCATTTTACTATTTAAAGTTTTTTCCAGGGGAATTTTGCATGCCAAATTCATAGCTGGCCAAAATCTTCTCTGTGGTTTGAGGCCAACAGAGGTGGGCTTACAATGGTAGATTAATGGGGTCATGGAACCCCCCTTCTCTCCCAAGAGATGCTGTAATGGAATAAAGCCTCATGGTGGAGGTGGTTTAAGGGGTAGGGGCTTCATATAATGATTTTCATAGATTTACTTTAAAGAATTAGCATTCAATATTTTTATAGATCAGAATATGAATATACATACATACATACATACATATATATATGTGTGTGTATATATATATATATATTTTTTTTTAGATAGTCTCTCTCTGTTGCCCAGGCTGGAGTGCAGTGGTGTGATCATGGCTCACTGAAGCCTCAACCTCCTGGGCTCAAGAGATACTCCTGCCTCAGCTTCCCAAGTTGCTGGGACCACAGGCACACATCACCATTCCTAGCTAATTTTTTTTTTTTTTTTTTGTGGAGACCAGGTCTGCCCATGTTGCTCAGGCTGTTTTTGAACTCCTGGCCTCAAGTGATCCTCCTGCCTTGGCTTCTCAAAGTACTGGAAATACAGGAATGAGCCACTACACCCACCATAGGTTGGGGTCTTTGTAGAGAAAACAAAAACCAGGTGAGCAAGTAACATGAGGAATTAGGTATATCTGGGCCTCTTGGAAAATATTTTTATCTTTTTGTTTGCTCTCTGTTTTAAGATCTCTAGCCTCATTCGTTCTTTCTCTCATTTTACAACTTCAAACTTATATTCCTACCTCCTGCCCCATTCTCATTTTGAGACAGCTATGAATAGCAAAAGAAAATCCATGGAATTTACAGTCAGAAGACCTTGGTTCAAGTTCCACTTCATACCAGCTGTGTGGCCTTAGGCAAGTCACAAAACCTCTCTGATCTTTGTTTAAGTAGTTTAACTATAAACTACTTGTAAGACTCATCATAGGGTTGCTTCAAGAACAAAATTACATAATAGATGTATAGTGGCCAGGTGTGGTGGCTCATGCCTGCAATCCCAACATGTTGGGAGGCTGGGGCAGAAGAATCACTTGAGACCAAGAGTTTGAGACCAGCCTGGGCAACATAGCGAGACCCTGTCTCTAATAATAATAATAATAATAATAATAATAATAGATGTATAGTATTATAAAATATAATAATTTATAAATGTTAATTCATCAAACAAGGTATGGAATCATAATAATGGCCATGATAGATAACTATTGTTTCTCCCAACTCAGCATCCATTACCTCATCTGGCAACAGCATCCTGATTTTCCTTTGGGAAACACCTCTGCCTCTATCAGTCAATTTGAGTTGAGTGAAACTGAGCCCACTGCAAGCTTCAGGGATGGGCATTTGACCTTGGCCAATCAGAACATCACACCTCTGGCTGGGTGGGAGGATCCATTCATCCATGACCCATTTGCTCTGGCCAGGGAGGAGGTGTGAATTTTTTTTTTTTTTTTTTTTGGAGACCTAGGGACTCGCTCTGTTGCCCAGGCTGGAGTACGGTGGCACAATCATAGCCCACTGCAGCCTTGAACCCCTGGGCTCAAGCGACCCTCCTGCCCCTGCTTCAGCCTCCCAAGTCCCACCTGGGACTACAGGTGTACAACACCATGCCAAGCTAATTATTTTATTTTTTGTAGAGACAGGGTCTCACTATGTTGCCCAGTCTGGTCTCAAACTTTTGGCCTCAAGCGATCCTCCTACTTTGGCTTCCCAAAGCGCTGGGATTGCAAAAATGCTCAGTGACACAACGATGATATTATTGACATCAATGATGGTGGTGGTGACTTTTTCCTCCCCTAGGGGTTCTGCTGAGAGATTCCCAATCCCTAATCTAAGTGATGGCTTCTGATGATACCAACAGGGAATTCATGAGTCAGATAAACGTCATGTCACACACCAGACCCATGAAGGATAAGAACCCTGCTTAGGAAAGGTACCTTTTTTCACAGACAGTGCCCCAAATTCTTCTGCTGGCCAGGGAGAGCCACTCGATCCGCCTCTCGTACATCCGCATAGCTCTGTTGAGCTGTTTCTGCAGAGGTGTGGGCCACAGTGAGCGGCTGCTCAAAGGCTGAGCAACCAAGGGGCCTGAGGGGAAGTAGGTATACCCAGGTGGGCCTCAGGGAATGGTGTGTCAAGTCCCTGGGAATCCAGGCAGTATAATCATTCCACTAAATCATGGACAAATTCGCCACAAGACCAGGAAGGGAAGAGTCACATGGTATTTCATTGCATCAAATGGGGGAGGAAGCAGATCTTTCCCCAGAGGATTAGAGGCTTTTTTTCTTTCTTTTTTTTTTCGAAGCATTGAGGTCCCTGCTTGGGGAGGAGGTGGCCAAAGCTCCAGGGGGCCTGTAGGTGGAGCACACAGTCCCTCTTTACAAGAGGGAGTTTAGTCAATGGTTTGGTGACTCCATAGCCCAGGGAACCTTCCTCCCATCTCCGCCTCCTGCACCCCATTTTCTGACTGATTGAACCCATCACTGACCTGGTACTCATAGAGGAAGGGTGGGTCCACATGTATGTTCTTCACTGTCCCATCGTGCCATTCAAATTGTATCATTGCCTTCTGTTCTCAGGCACGGGCAGGAGGGTGAGCAGGTGAACAGAAGTACATGTAGTTTAATTTGGGCACTGGTTCTCCAAATCAGGTGCAGGAGAGGGAAGTGGGCTCTGAACACATTTGAGGCTGGATTGAACTCCCTCCCAGAACTCCACCACACACACTCCGCAATACCACCACCACCAGGTCCATTGCCTTGTCTGGAACTGGAAGTAGAGAGCCTTAGAGAGAGTGATCCCCTGAACGGACCATGCCTGACAGCAAGCCTCTCAGGCTGTCTTCCTGAGAGGCTTTTCTGAACATCAGAGTCATGAAGATATGGTTGGAGGGTTTTAGTAAAAGAGAGCACAGTTGGAGACCTTAACATATACTGGCCATAGCTTCTTAGGTTTGGAAACCTAGACAGGCCTTCACAGATGCTTTGAAAATCCAATTTGTTAATCTTGTTTTTTCATCCTCCACCAAGTCAATAATTCCATCTCTCTCTCACTCCATCCATCTAGTCATTCATCCATGCACTGCTAGACCTACATGTCCCTTACTCCTCTCTCTTCCTTTCAGTCTTCCATCTTTCTGCTATCTTTCTATTCACCTATTATTCCTTGCATTTCTCCATCCTTTCACTCCTACATCCTTCCATCCTTACTTTAATTTCTACTTTCATTCTTTCATTTGTCCTTTATTCCATTTTGTCATCCATCCTTCCATTTTCCATTTTACCCTTCCACCTGTTCAGATTTCCATCTATTCACCCATCCATTCACCCATCCATGCATCCATCCATCCATCCATCCATCCATCCATCCATCCATCCATCTACTCATCCATTTATCCATCCATCCATCCATCCACTCATCCATTTATCCATCCATCCATCCATCCATTCATCCATCCACCCACCCACCCATCTATCCATCCACCTATCCATCCGTCCGTCCATCCATCCATCCATCCATTCATCCATCCACCCACCCACCCATCTATCCATCCACCTATCCATCCGTCCGTCCATCCATCCATCCATCCATCCATCCATCCATCCATCCATCCATCCATCCACATTTCCATTCATTCATCATTCTTTTCCTTCTTCTGGCCAACCTTCCTTCCAACTACCTTCTCAGCCATCCAGTAAACATTCATTGATTTCCTACTCATACTAAACATGGGGGATAGAGAGTTAGAGAAGAGTGTTCCCTCTTTATACTTCATACTTGATGGGGATTTAAATATGTAAAAATTCATGCATTAACCCTTTATGGGAGCAATAGCAGAAGTCTGCATTAGGTGCAGTGAGGACATAAAGAGAGCAAGTCTGTCCTGTCTGAGTTGGGAGGAGAAAACCTTCATGGAGGAGGTGACCGTGGTACCTGATTTATCCCTCTTGCCCCATCTCCCGAGTTCAATTTTTCAGATCTTTGAAAACCAACAGCTACAGTGGATTTGATGTGCATTCTAGGGTCCTGGGTGGGAAGCCTGAATCCCTGGTGATTCTTATTGCCAGAACATTTAAGAAGGTGGGAAAAGCCACCAGGGAGCTCTCCTGCAGAGGACTGGAGAAAATGATGAATCTGAATTACCTCATGGATAGTCGATGATACTGTTTTCTGGAGAATAGGTACAAATTCCTCCACAGGAGTGAATGCGTTGGGTGCCAGGACCTGATACAGACTTAATTTCTTGGCTGAAAAAATAAATTGTGAGGTTGTAGGCACTGCCTGGGAAGCTCTAAAGGGTTCAAGCCTTTTATTTTTTGAGACAGGGTTTTGCTCTGTCACCCAGGCTGGAATGCAGTGGCACAATCATAACTCACTGTATCCTCAAACTCCTGGACTCAAGGTATTCTCCTGCCTCAGCCTACCTGAGTATCTGGGACTATAGGTGTATGCCACCACACCCAGATAATTTTATTTTTTATAGAGATGGGGTCTTGCTATGTTGCCTAGGTTGGTCTCAAATCCCTGGCCTCAACTAATCCTTCCTTCTTGGCCTCCCAAAGTGCTGGGATTGCAGATGTGAGCCACTGTGCCCGGCCGGATTCAAGCCTTTTAGTCAGTCACCTGTTTCCTGGGTTCTGCCCTCTTTGGAGATTTACCTTTCAGACCATTGACCTTAAGCCACTCTGCAGAAGTCTTGTCCAAGTTTGGAAACTCAATGGTGAGAGGAGCGTCATGCTTTGGGGGTTTAGGCAAGAGGCTTATGAGTAGCCCATTTGCAATCTCTGTGGAAATCTAAATTAAATGAGAAAGCCCTCATTACATAATCATATTTTAGAGTTGAAAAATCCTCAGTCTTCACCCTCCACCCAGTCAACGCAAGTGGAGCATCTTAAACACTCCATGGTAGATTAAAGGCGGTTTTGCCTTTCCCTTCTGTCATCCCCTCCCCGTCTCTGGAGATTTCTGGAATTTCCAGGGGAAGAGGGAGGAGTACCCAGCAACTCGCTTGCTCTCACAGTGGCCTATGCTCCTGGCTCCCTCCCTAACCTTACCGGGAAGATCAGCACCACGGACTCCAAAGTGACAGGTCGCCCCTCCATGCTTTGGAGAACTAAAAACTCCTGCAGCAAATCACTTAGTGAGCCCCGACGTGGCCACCCTGTGGCCACATTTACTAAGTAAAGAACCGAGGCTCTGAGAGGTTAAATTACATAGTGAATGTAGAAGTAAAACATAGAACAGTAAGTCTCAAACTTCAGAGATGTGAGCACTGCCTTCATGAATTTTGCTATATCTGAGTACTACTGTATTATTATATTTTAAGAATCAACATGTAACATTAAAGTTTTTTAGTTATTAATTTTCTTTAATTTTAAAAATTCAATCCCTTTCACAATTTTAGAAAGAAGATCTATGATGACCATAATGAGCTAGTTTGAAATAGATACCATTTAAAAAATATATTAATCCATGCACCACCTAAAATCATCTTGCAAACTACAAGTAGTACATGCACTTCATTTTTGGAAACTCTTGGCAAGGTTTTGGGCCTTAGACCTGGGTTCAATCCAAACTCAATCTATTTCTATCTCTGCAATCTTAGGCAAGTTATGTAACCTCTTAGCTTCGGTTTCCTCATCTATAAAAAGTAATAATATACTTAACTCAGACTCTTGTTAAGATAAAACATTTAAATAATTGAACACTGTGCCTATCTTATAACGAGCATTTAATAAATGAGAACTACTATAATTCTTTTTTTTTTTTTTTTTTTTGAGATGGAGTCTTGTTCTATCACCCAAGCTGGAGTACAGTGGCACTATCTGGGCTCAATGCAACCTCTGCCTCCTGGGTTCAAGTGATTCTTCTGAGTCAGCTTCCCACATAGCTGGGATTACAGGTGCCTGCCACCACGCCTCACTAAGTTTTGTATTTTTAGTAGAGACAGTGTTTCACCATGTTGGCCAGGCTGGTCTTGAACTCCTGACCTCGAGCGATCCACCTGCCACAGCCTCACAAAGTGCTGGGATTACAGGTGTGAGCTATCACACCTGGCCAAGAACTATTATAATTCTAATACTAATTGTTGTTATTGTATTTATACATTTTTAAAATTCTTTTTTGAGACAGGGTCTCGCTCCATTGCCCAGGCTGGAGTGCAGTGGTGCCATTATGGCTCACTGCAGCCTCGACCTCCCAGGTTCAATCATCCTCCCACCTCAGCCTCCTGAGTAGCTGGGACTACAGGCACATGACATCGTGCCTGGCTAATTTTTTAATTTTTTGTAGAGACGGTGTTTTGCCATGTTGCACAGGCTGGTCTTGAATGCCTGGACTCAGGTGATCCTCTGGCCTTGGCCTCCCAAAGCACTGGGATTTCAGGTGTGAGCCATGGCTGAGGTGAGAATGACTCTCTTCAAGACAGCCTATTCTGGATGGTTGAGGTTTTCATGATTCTCCAGACTGGGGGTAAGGGAGGGGAGTGACAAGACAGAGGGGGTGGCAGGAGCCCGCTGATCTTTCTCTGAGATAAATTTTACAGTTAGTAAATCCACCAGGATCTTTCTGGCACCATGGTGGGCCCACCCAGCCCACCCAACTCAGAGCTCTGGGGTGCAATGAAGGGTGGGCCTTGCCTTGTTTCGATTTTAGGAAGTGACGGACACCGGCAGCTGTGCCGTCTATGAACAGGTGAGAAAGGGGAACAAGGCCAGCTGAGTGCTGCTGGGAGAAGGCCCCAGAATTGACACTCACACCACCTACCTCCTCCATGGTGCAGGTGAGCGCCTCACAGGGGCTGCTGTGCCTCAGGGCTTGCACGTGGCTGAGGAGGCTCTGGGCCGTCTGAATTTCTGCCAGGAGCTCATCCATATCCCGGCTGGTGTAGAGCTGAGGGTGGCAAGAGCAATCAGCCAGCCAGAATCACTAGGCTACCTGCAGAAGCCAACCCAGGAAGGGGCAAGCAGCCAGGCCAATGCCCAGGCAGAGGGGCAGACTCTCTCCACTAGGCCTTATAAACTGCTACCCGTGTGCCAGGAAGAGCCTGCAGACATGCTGTGCTCCATTTGTGCAACTGACCTGCTGTGTTTTAAAACAATTGAAGAGTTTTCTAACTGTAAAAGTATAAAGAAACACTTTACATGCACTAGGATGGCTATAATAATAATACTTATTTATTTTATTATTATTTTTAGAAAAAGGGTCTTTTTCTGTCACTCAGGCTGGAGTGCGGTGGTGCAATCATTGGTTACTGCAGCCTCGAACTCCTGGGCTCAAGTGATCCTCCTGTGTCAGCCTCCTGAGTAGCTGTGACTACAGCCATATGCTACCACGCCAGGTGAATTTTTAAATTTTTTGTACAGATGGGCTGTCACTATATTGCCTAGGGTAGTCTCAAACTCCTGGCCTCAAATGATCCTCCTGTCTCGGCCTTCCAAAGCACTAGGATTACAGACATGAGCCACCATGCCTGGTCAAGTCACAGATTTTAAGATAAAATATTCCTTAAACCAGTCAGTTTCAGTCATTTACTTTACCTTTCTAACCTCTGTAGTCTGAGTCACCTACAGACAGAGTCCAGATGATGAGGTATCAAGATAGGGTGCTGCCTGAGTTTGGCTCCCTGCTATGACAAGCAGGGACCTTGTGACCTTTGAATTCACTTGTGAGATGCAAACACTCATTTACTCATGGTTATTAATGGTAGGCAAGACACAGCCTGGGAGCGACCAGATGATTGCATTCTTAATCTTCCAAATGGACCTACACACATGTTTGCTAATCGTTGCCTCCCTTGTGAACACAGGGTGGCTGATGTCTAGTTATTAACTGGGACAAGGACAGTAATGGATGGATCGGTACAGAATGGATTGCTCATTTTGCTCTGCAGTGGGTCCCCTGCAGTAGCAGGAGTTGATCTAGGAGAGAAAATCAAGGCAATTCAGACTCAGTGCTTTGCGGGGAGCAGAGCTAGGCTGGGCCTATATTAACGGCAACTGGAGAGTGATTGAGGATTCTGCAGGCAGGGTTTTAAAAGGCCTCTGGGCTCCCAGGCATGCAATCAATGCATCATACAGGCTGACCAAAGCATCTCCTGTGACTTCAGGTTGTCCCTGTTCTTCCCACATATTCATTCTAACCCGATTTTACCTGTGTAACCTCATTGAATACAGGTGGGGGACAGGGAGAAAAGGAGAAACAAGTGTATAGTGTGGTCCTGGCCCAGACCTCCTGGGTACAACCTTGGAGGCAGACAAGGAGAGAAGAAGAGGGGCCATGTGTTGGCAGAAGGGCTTACCTCCATCTTTGGGCTGTAGCAGTGGTAGTAGCCCCTAACAGCTTCTGCAAGGTTCTTCAGGACAGCCTGCAGGGATGAGGCCAGGGTCAGCCCTCACTAGGGCAACACCAATACTCCAGTAAGCCTTCCCCTTGACTGAACCTCCCAATTATCTGAAGCTTCCCATTTTACCAAAGGGAGAACCAGGCACAAGGACAGGTGCATTCTCATCCACACTCGGGGGCCTGTCCAAGCATGAGGCCTCAAAGGCCAGCCCAACTGACTACCACCAAAGCCAAGGGACACCTCAGAGAATCTCGGGCACTCACAGGGGGCATCTGATCATCGCAGCTGTAGGTGATGAAGTGGATGATGAGGTCTCTTCCCATGGTGGACTGCTGGATGTAGTCGGACAGGATTTCAGAAGCCTGATCTGGGCTGGGGAGAAGGCAGAAAAGTGGACACCCCAGGTCAGATCACTTTGAGAACATTTCAGAGCACAATGGTAATTCCCAAGGAACAGCTACCCATTCTTAACTGGCCACCTGTGTCCCAGGTCACCTATGCGGGATGCAGGGCTAGGTGGACTGCAGGCCTGGCTGCCCTGCCTCCTCTGCAGATGGGTGGCCTGTGATTGCAGTCCTTCCCTCATGTGTGTGTGTGAAGAGTCATGGTTGATGATCTTTTCTTTCTTTCCTTCTTTCTTTTCTTTCTCTCTCTTCCTTCTTTCCTTCCTTTTCTTTCTTTTCTTTTCCTTCTTTCTTCTTTTTCTTTCTTTTTTCTTTTCATTTCTTTCTTTTTCTCTTTCTCTCTCTTCCTTCTTTCCTTCCTTTTCTTTCTTTTCTTTTCCTTCTTTCTTCTTTTTCTTTCTTTTTTCTTTTCATTTCTTTCTTTTTCTCTTTCTCTCTCTTCCTTCTTTCCTTCCTTCCTTTTTTCTCTCTCTTCCTTCTTTCCTTCCTTTCTCTTTTCTTTCTTTCATTCTGTTTCTTTGTCTTTCTCTCTTTCTTTTCTTTCTTTCTCTCTCTCTTTCTTTCTCTCTCTTTCTGCCTGTGACTGCAATCTTTCCCTCATGTATGTGTGAAGAGCCATGATTGATGATCTTTTCTCTTTCTTTCTTTCCTTCCTTCCTTCTCTCTCTCCCTCCCTCTCTCCCTCTCTCTCCCTCCCTTTCCCTCCCTTTCCTTCCTTCCCCTTCCTTCCCCTCCCTCCCTCCCTTCCTCCTTCCTTCCTTCCTCCCTCCCTCCCTTCCTCCCTTCCTCCCTTCCTCCTTCCCTTTCCCTCCCCCTCCCCTCCCCTTCCCTTCCCTTCCCTGGGTCTCACTCTGCTACCCAGGTTACAATGCAGTGGAACAATCATAGCTTACTGCAGCCTTAAACTCCTGGGCTCAAGCAATCCTCCTGCCTCAGCCTCCCAAGTAGCTGGGACTACAGGTGCACACAACCATGACCAGCTAATTTTTATCTTTTTTTTAGAGATAGGTTCTCACTGTGTTGCCCAGACTGGTCACAAACTCCTGGCTTCAAGCAGTCCTCCTGTCTTGGCCTCCCAAAGTGCTGGGATTACAGGCATGAGCCACTGTGAACAGCCCATCTTTTCTCAAACAGTGGTTTGGTTCTTCAGTTCCTTTTGTGTAGTATGTCAACTGCTTAGGAAAGAAGACCTACCAGCTTCTCATGATGACCACCAGGGAATCCAGCCCCTTGAGAGTGAAGATCTTCTTCAGAGCTTGTAGCAGGTTGCTGCCTCCATCAGGCTGCAGTGTCTTTACCCAGAGCTTAAGTTCCTGGAGGCTGGGGGGAGACAACAACGGCAACCTAATTATAAGACTGTTTGTATTTAATTTCATTTTAATTTCTTTTTAGAGATAAGGTCTGGCTATGTCACCCAGGCTGAAGTGCAGTGGTGCAATCATAACTCACTGTAACCTCGAACTCCTGGGCCCAGGCGATCCTCCTGCCTCAGCCTCCCAAGTAGCTGGGACTGCAGGTGTGTGGCATCCTGCCCGGCTAATTTTTATATTTTATGTAGACGGCTGGGCATAGTGGCTCATGCCTGTAATCTCAGCACTTTTGGGGGCCAAGGTGGATGGATCACTTGAGGTCAGGAATTCAAGACCAGCCTGGCCAACATGGTGAATCCCATCTCTACTAAAAATACAAAAAAAAATTAGCCAGCTGTGGTGGCACATGCCTGTAATCCCAGCTACTTGGGAGGGTGAGCAGGAGAACTGCTTGAACTCCAGAGGTGGAAGGTTGCAGTGAACTGAGATTGTGCCACTCTCACTGCACTCCAGCCTGGGCAACAGAGTGAGACTCTATCTCAAAAAAAAAAAAAAAAAATTATGGAGAGATGGGGGTCTCACTGTGTTGCCCAGGCTGGTCTTGAACTCTTGGCCTCAAGAGGTCCCCCTCCCTAGCTTCCCAAACAGCTGGGATTATAGGTGTGAGACCCTACACCTGGCCTGTAGTATTAGGTACCAGGCCCAGGACAAATATTAGCTCATTTAAACCTAATGATAACTTGTTGAGGAGGTATCTTTATTCCCATTTTGCAGATGAGGAAACTGAGTTAGGACTTGCCCAAGGTGATAATGTAAGCAACTGTTAAAACTGAGATTTCAAACCAGGTCTGACTCTAAGATCTGAGCTTTTAGAAATTGTGCTATGTGAGGGTCTGGGGCTGAGTTCCTTCTTCCCCATACCTACTCTCTTGGGAGCCAGCCCTCAACAGGAGGCATGGAGTTAATTCCGCGACCCTAAGAAGGCTCTAAGAGAAAGCATTATGGCTGTGTGGCTTATGTCTCACGTGGGTTGGGGTACACACCACTGGTGAGAAGAAAAATAACTTGATTCTTTCTTGGCTAAAACTTTGCACAACACTAGTGAAAGAGGTCTGTTCTTTCTACTTCAAAAAATCAAAAATCTGAAAGAGAAAATCTCAGTGTGGTGCTAATAAGTTCATCTTTCATGATCATAACTGTCAAGTCTCCTTTTTGAACAGCAAGAACAAGTCCCAGGTCTAGCGCCTTCTCTAGCCAATAGATTTAAGCTGGAATTTAAAACCATTGTTTTTCTCTCATTGTATTTATTTATATGGCTGCTTTTTTTTTTTTTCTCAAAGCCATTAAAGAAAGATATATGGTTGCTTTCTAATTATAGAAATATAATTACATGATTATAGAAGTATAACCATGCAAGTGATATGAACTTCTCAGTTATGGTATTGATAGAAAGTTTCCTTCAGGCCAGGAGCAGTGACTCATGCCTGCAATCCCAGCACTCTGGGAGGCTGAGGAGGGAGGACCACTTGAGGCCAGGAGTTCAAAACCAGTCTGATCAACATAGCCAGACCCCATCTCTACAAAAAAGGAAAAATTTAAAAAATTAGTTGGGCACACCCTTGTTGTCCTAGCTACTGGGGAGGCTGAGGCTGGAGGATCATTTGAGCTCAGGAGATAAGATGGCAGTAAGTTATGATTGTACCACTGCACTCCAGACGTGACAGAGCAAGACCTTGTCTCAAAACAAAACGAAACAAAACAAAAAAAACAAGTTTCTTTCAATAAAAAATAAATAGAATTGAAGTAAAGAAAAATTAGCAATAGTACACATGGTAGGCCAGGCACAGTGGCTCACGCCTGTAATCCCAGCACTTTGGGAGGCCAAGGAGGGCGGATCACTTGAGGTCAGAGTCCGAGACCAGCCTGGCCAACATGGTGAAACCCCGTTGCTACCAAAAATCCAAAAAAAAAAAAAAAAAAAAAATTAGCAGGGCATGGTGGAGCACACCTGTAATCTCAGCTATTTGGGAGGCTGAGGCAGGATAGTTGCTTGAACCCAGGAAACGGATGTTGTGGTGAGCCAAGATCGCACCACTGCATTCCAGCCTGGGTGACAGAGTGAGACTCCATCTCAAAAATAAAATAAAATAAAATAAAATAAAATAAAATAAAATAAAACAAAACAATAGTACACATGGTAAAGATATGACATAGGGATATGACAAGAGAATTCTAGGAGTTCCTGAAGATGCAGAACTTTTGGCTGCCATCCATTAACAACCCAGGGGTCACTGCTCCACCTAAAGTGGAAATCAGAGTACAAAATGCTCTCGTTCATTGAGTACCTGGCACTAGCCCAGTACTTTGTTTTCATTTCATCGCCATAACAGTCCTGTGAAGAGTGGATAGGATTGGCCTTGTTTTGCAAATGAGAGAGTTAAGGGACTTGTCAAGAACACGCAGTGACTGTTGGGGTTGGGATTCAAAGCCAGAGGGCCAGAAGTGGGCAATTCTCTATCTAGAAGGGCTCTTCTTTACAGCTAGTGCTGGCGAGGGGGCCTCCCTCCTAGAAATCTAAGCACATGCTTTTTTTTTTAACTTTTAAATTTTTTTTGGAGACAGGGTCTCTCTCTGTCACCCAGGCTGGAGTACAGTGGCACAACCATAGCTCACTGCAGCCTCGACCTCCCTCCCAGTCTCAATCAAACCTCCCACCTCAGCCTCCCGAGTAGTTGGGACTATAGGCACATGCCATCACACCCGGCTAATTTTTAAATTTTTTTGTAGAGATGGGGTCTCACTGGGTTGCTCAGACTGGTCTCAAACTCCTGAGCTCAAGCGATCCTCCCACCTTGGCCTCCCAAAGTGCTGGGATTATAGGCATGAGCAACTGGCGCTGGCCAAAGCACGTGCGTTTTCCTGGGATCTGGAATCCAATCCTGGCTTTGCCGCATTGGGCATCTTCCCTAAGCTGAGTCTGCATTTCCTCATCTGCAAAATGAGGATAATAATCCTATTCCATGGGGTGGCTATATATACTAAATACAATCATCCATGCAAAGTACCTAGTATGGCAACCAACACATGGTGGGTGACTGAGGACATTCCTTTCACGGAAAAGAAATTTCTACTCACTGGATAAATAGAAATTCTTACATACCTCCCTCCTATCCCTAAAAAAAACCCCAGGCTAGAAACCCCCAACTAAAGGACATCCATGCAGTAGAGTACTATGTAGCCATTAAAACAAATGAGGTAGATTTGTATGCATTGACAGAGAAAGAGATTCAAGACCAGCTAGAAAGCCAAAGCACAGAGCAGTGTTATATAGGTCCTGTTTATGTCAAAATAAGAAGGTAAACACATAGATGCGTGTGTGCAAATATTATTTGTGGAAGTGATATAAGGAACTATTTTGGGCCAGGCACAGTGTCTCACATCTGTAGTCCCAGCACTTTGGGAGGCCAAGACTGGAAGAGCACTTGAGGCCAGGAGGTCAGGACCAGCCTGGACAACATCGCAAGATCCCATCTTTACAAAAATAAACAATATGGCTGGGTGTGGTGGCTCATGCCTGTAATCCCAACACTTTGGGAGGTCAAGGTGACAGATCACTTGAGGTCAGGAGTTCGAGACCAGCCTGGCCAACATGGTGAAACCCTGTCTCTACCAAAAAATGCAAAAGTTAGCTGGGCATGGTAGCGTATGCCTGCAGTCCCAGCTACTTGGGAGGCTGAGGCACGAGAATCACTTGAACCCGTGGGGTGGAGGTTGCAGTGAGCCAAGATCACACCACTGTACTCCAGCCTAGGCAACAGAGACCGAGTCTAAATAAACAAATAAAAATGTAGCAGGGTGTGGTGGCACATGCCTGTAGTCCCAACTACTCAGGAGGCCGAGGTGGGAGGATTGCTTAAGCCCAGGAGGTCAAAGCTGCAATGAGCTATGATTACGCCACTGCACTCCAGGTTGGGAGACACCATGAGATCCTGTCTTTAAAAAAAAAAAAAAAAAAAAAGAGGGAGACTCATTTGCTATTATTTATCATCCTTTCATACTGTTGGAATTTTTTAAAAACACGCATGTGTTATTTTCACAATAATAAAACTATCTTTGCTAGTTTGCTGGATAAAAACGGTGTCTTGTGGTCACCTTCTCTGTCAGTTTATGAACAGCTGCATGGCCATCTTTCCAAAAATTGTTTCTGCTTTTGTGAGTTGTCTCTTTGTACTTACTTATCTAGTAGTGGCCTGGGGTTTGCAGTTGAATTATTCAATAAAGACTCTGCTGGTTAGGGAGGAAAATGAAAAAGTCAATATCACCGTCAGGCAGGAAAGCCACTCACACAGAGGCGCTGACTTCCATGGGGTCCGGCCAGAGGGACCTGGCGTTGGTGCCAAAGGACAGGACAAATAGCTTCTCCTTGTGGCTCAGCTGCTCATCGATGAGGCTCTGTTGGACAAAAGGACGTCACTGGCTCCCATAGCCAGGGGAATGTGGAGCCTGGCTTTGCCTCTCTCGCCTTAGCTGGCCCCTCTGGGCTGGGTCTGAGCTGTGCTGAAATATGGCTGCTTGAGGCTGGACTTAGCAGCCAGCCCCAAGCCAACATTTGCTTCCCACCTGCCGGGCCTCCTGTGGGTGGGATGAGCATCTGGGCTGCCATCTCAGTGTGCTATGGTTGGCCCCTTGGCGCTTACCTGTGGCACCTGGAGAGGGAGGACAGAGGTCAGGGCAGTGGTTTCTCTCTAAGGCATGTGAGCTGGAGATGGAGCTGGTGAGTATCCATAACTTCTCCCTCTTCTTCCTGGCCAGCTAGAAATTCCACCTGTATGCCACCCCATGAGCTCTGCCCTGGCTAATAGTAGACCACTCCACCTGAGGGATCTTTGGAAACTCTGTCCTGAGGACTTGTCATGAAGGGGGAGACTGCTCTGCAACCTGTCTCCTGACATCCACTGAGACCAGGAACAGGGAACAAGTCTGGAGGACAGCCCCACACTGAGCCTCATAAAGGCTCTGCAGGACCTGTACAAAATACAAGGGGCTGTTGCTGCCATGGTACCCATAGGAAAATAGCCTGTCCACACCACATCAGGCTGCAGAGGCTTTTCTCCAGGCCAGATTTCTCACTGCACACTTATGAGAAGACTTCTCACAGAGCACTTCACTTGCACAAGCTCCTTTTACCCTTATGGCAACCCTAGGTAGTCACTGTTGTTATCCCCATTTTACAGAGGAGGTAAGTAAGACACAGAGAGATTAGTTAACGTGGTCACATGGCCTGGAATTGGTGGAAGTGGCTGGGATTTGACTCCAGCCATCTGACTCTAGTTCTTAGCTTCTCCGCTATGGAGGTGAGTTGGGGATGGAGCAATGGGCAACACCAGCCTGTTCACTGCTCTCAAGCTAGAGCTGGTGAGTATCCAATGGGAACCGTAACTCCAAAGAAACCAGAATAGCTCCTCCATCCAGAAAAGGCCAGAAGCCCTGTGCTGTGCTGTGCTATGCAGGAGTCTTCACATCCTCTTTCCAGGGAAACATGGGAGCTCTTGAGTCAAAGTCTAGTTGGCAGGTACTGTCGTGGTGAGAATACTGGAAGTTCACACTACAACCGAAAATGACTCTGTGGTTGGGTTTTGTAGAATTCAACATAGTTCTCTAACCGTAGGTGCTAATTAAGTGTGAACTTTTCTTTATAAGACACCCTATCTTGCATTTGCTATAAACAAGCTAGTCAGCAAGCTCAGGAAGGAAAGGCTGGGGGTGGTGGGTGGTTCCAGGTGTTTCAGTGCGCCAGACAGACTTACCATGAGGTCCTTTTGGAACTCCTCTTTCTGAGGGCCACTGCTGACGGCTGACACATCTATGAGGATGCTGACTCTGGCCCCTTTGATGAGGCCAAATGCCTAAAACCAAAGAGGGTATTTGGAAACAGCCAGTACAAGTCTGTGCATCTCCTACACTGAGCTGCTCTGTGCGATGCAGTGATGCGAACACTTCCCTCACCCCTAACAAGCAGCAGCAGACAGAAACCCCATTTTACAAGGGAAAAGCAAAACCCAATATCATGACTTCAACTCTGGGCATGACTGCTCTTATTTTGTGGCAGCCTCTTCTTTGTAAGTTTTTTCCCCTTATATTTCTTGTCTAATCTTATGAAGTAATACATGGTCATTGTAGAAAATCTGGAGACTGTAGAAAAGCACCCTTTGTTTGAAGATATAAAATTTGATGGCTATTTATATTAGCTTATCTGATTTAATTTCTCTATATCCTTATTTATTTTTTTGCTTCTTTTCCGGTTCAAGGGCGGTTTTTTTGGTTTGCCCGGTTGCATTGTTTTTTTTTTGGTTTTTTATTTTTTTTTTTTTTTTTTTTTTTTTGAGTTGGGGTCTTGCTATATTGTCGAGGTTGGTCTCGAACTCCTGGGCTCAAGCAACCATGTGCCACCACATCCAAGTTTCTAATTATGTTTCTAAATGGTATTATTACTCTACAGTTATTACTCCTTGACTTATGATGGGGCCACGTCCTGATAAACCCATCACAAGTGGAAAAATCATAAGTCGAACCATTCTAAGTCAAGGACTGTCTGTATTACTTGTTGATGCTGTTTGATTCTGCACATAAATGTTCATCTTGTTAAAGCTGCATTGTGGATTGGAACTTTCATTCATATGAAATTGATAGTTCTCTAGGGGCAGTAGGTTCCATTCGGTGTTTTTCCTTAAATCCTACTTTATTGGATATCTAATTTTCCTGTTGAATTCACTCTTCTGCTCTCAGAGAGTATTTTATATCTTCTCTTACACCTGCAGCACTCCCTTTCTGTACTCTCCCAGCAAGTGATTTTGCCTCCAATTTTGCTAAGAAAACAGAAACAAATTGGAGAGAATTAAAAAAAAATCTTTCCATGCAGAGTCTACTGACCTACCAGCCCATAGCCCTACACACTTCACCTTTTTCCAGTTAAAATGCATCTAAGGCCAACCAGCAACGGTCTAGGCTAACCTTTGACTTGCATCACTGGATCTTCTCTTGCTAAATAGGAACTCTGCTTCTGTGATCATCCCTTCTCCTGGATCATCCATTCCTATTGATTGTACAACTTCCATCATCATACGAACAGGTTATAATATCGCCCATCTTAAAAAAGATATAGACCTCTCAGGATGCCACCTCTCCCTCCTGCTGCTGTTTCATTTTTCGGCTCTCCATCTTAGCCACACGTCCTTACCTCCCGGGGACCCATTCAAGTTAGGTTCTCACCTTCCTATTCCTCTGAAACCACATGTGTCAAGCTGATCAATGACCTCTGTCTTGCCAAGCCCAAGGGTTAAATCCAAATTCTCAACTTTCTCGAACTCTGAGTAGCATATAGCACAGTTTGACTGTGTCAAGAATTTAACAAGTTAAAACACTTTGTACATGTGTCTTCCAGGACACCACATTTTCCCACTTTCCCCTCTATTCACTGCCCAGATTTTCTTAATTTCCTTTCCTAGAGAGTCCCTCCTCCTTGTTCCAAAGTCACAATACTGGCGTGCCCTAGGAACTTGCTTCTGAGGGTGTGGGTCATGGGCCGACAGCATCACCATCCCTCAACTTGCTAGAAATGCAGAGTCTCAGGTCCCACTCCAGGCTTACCTAATTAGAGTCTTTATTTTAACAAGGGCTTCCAGGTGCAGTGGCACAATCATAGCTCACTGCAGCCAGGAACTCCTGGGCTCAAGTGATCCTCCTGCCTCAATCTCCTAAGTAAGCTGGGACTATAGGTGTGCGCCATCACACCTGGCTATTTGGTTTTTTAATTTTTTTGTAGAGATAGGGTCTTACTGCATTGCCCAGGCTGGTCTTGAACTCCTGGCCTCAAGTGACCCTCCAGCCTCGGCCTCCCAAAGTGCTGAGATTGCAGCCATGAGCCCTCAAGCCTGGCCACTCTCTTCTTTATCTACCCCAGGGTTTGCCAGCTTTGGCACTACTGACATTTGGCACTATTGACATTTGGGCTGGATAATTATCTTTTGTAGGGAGCTGTCCTGTGCATTACAGGATGGTGAGCAGCATCCCTGGCTGCTGATAAACTAGATGTAGGTAACAACCCCTCTCCTCCAGCCATGACAATCAAAAATGTCTCCAGACATTGCCAAATGTTCCTGTGGGGCAAAATCTCCCCTGGTGGAGAACTACTGTTCTTTGATCACCTCCTAAGTGATCTAAGTGTCATGCCTTTGAATACTATCCAAACGCTAATAATTATCTGAGGTCCATCTTCAGATTTCTCTTGGAACTTCAGACCTGTGCACCCAACATCCTGCTCCGCTTCTCTGTCTGGAAGTCTACTAAGTCCCTCAGGCTTCACATGTCCAAAACAAGACCTCTTGGTTTTCCTTCTCAAGTCTGTTTCTCCCTCAGCCTTCCCCATCTCAGTAAATGCCATTCAACACTGGCCCAGGTGCTCTGGCCCCAAACCTATCTAATCCATTGGCAAGTTCTGCTGGTCCTACCTTCCAGTTGCGCGTTGAATCTACCATATATCATTCTGTCGACCCTAGAGCTTGAGTCTAAGCCTCCGTCGTTCTCACCCAGCGCAGTTGTCCTGTTTCCACTTTTACCCCCTGTATAGTCAAGTTATGCAGCAGCCAGTGTGATTCTTTTGAAACTTGTCAGATCAGGTCACTCCCCGGCTTTATTAAAGCCTTCATCTTTGGAATCAGGCCCTCCTGGACTTCAACCTGCTCATCTAACCTTGTCTCCTTTCTCCACGTAGCTCACTCTGTGCTTGCTGCACTGGCCCATGTGCTGCTTCTGGAACATACCAAGCTCGTTCCTGCCTCAAGACTTTTGGACTTGCTGTCTCCTCTGCTTGGAACATTCTCCCCAAAATATTGGCAGGGCTCACCTCTGTACTTTCTTTAGGTGCCTTTTCAAATATCTCCTCTTCAGAGTAAGTATCCTCAACCGTTCCATTTATTTATTTTTTATTTTAGTTTTGAGAGGGAGTCTCACTCTGTCTCCCAGGCTGGAGTGCAGTGGCATGATTTCAGCTCACTGCAACTCTGCCTCCTGGGTTCAAGCAATTCTCCTGCTTTAGCCTCCCGAGTAGCTGGTATTACAGGCGCCCACCACCACGCCTGGTTAATTTTTGTGGTTTTACTAGAGACGGGGTTTCAGCATTTTGGCCAGGCTGGTCTCAAATTACTGACCTCAAGTGATCCGCCTGCCTTGGCCTCCCAAAGTGTTGGGATTACAGGTGTGCACCACCATGTCTGGCCTCAACCATTCCATTTAAATAGGCCTTCTGTTCCACTCTCGGTTCCCTTACTCAGCTTTGTTTCTTTTTACAGCACGTAAGCTCCATGAAGACAGGACCTTAGTATTAGTCATGGTTTTTTTCCCCCCAGTGAACCATTCCTTTAGCAAGTACTGGTCATGTTGGTAGTCTCAATCCTAGAAGAGTGTCTGTTATACAATGACTCAATACGTGTTTGTTGAATTCATGACCCAAATATGGCACAAGGCTTTCTAGGGTATTGCCAGTCTGGAGGCAAGAAGTTGAAATCTAGAGCCAATTCTATTTCTTTTAAATTAAAAACAAGCTGCCATGAGGACTTTACAGCTTTTGGAATTGAAAACATTCATTCCCTAAACCTAGCCATTGAAGTTCTAGACATTTATTCCATAGAAATAACTGGACAAGTATGTTAGAGGCAACTGGAGCCGGGTAATACCAGATATTCTCATTTTTCAAGAGAAGTCTGATAGCAGACATGAAAGTGAAATATCAGGATTTAAAAAATCTTGGCAACTAATTTGAAAAATATTTAAAACTAGGGAGCCTGGAACAGCATGGCTGTGGGCCAGATTTGGCCTGCATGCCACTAGTTTATAACTTCTCCTTTTATCCTCTGCAGACACAGATCCAGAGAAGCGAGGCCACTTTCTAGGGCCTTAGTGAGAGAGCAGAACAGGAATGGTGACCAGCGATTATCTGGCCATCATATCAGGCTGCCTGCCTCAACACCCAGGGAGCCGGTGAGCTGATTCACAGGTGATCGCTTCCCTGGGCTCTTCCATGGTTTCTCTGTAGCTCTGTCAGAAAGGGGTGGCAGGAAGAAGGGGCTATCGATCCCCGCCAACTTTGACAAAGGTGCCAGGATGGGGTGATGGGGGTGGGTCGGTAAGAGCAGCATGTGCTACGTGGATGCCTATGGAGTATGGGAGGATTTAATTCCTCTGGGGTCTCTCTGCCTGTTACCATGGGCAACCAGAGGGGTCCAGCTATAGCCGCAGACAAGCATCTGCTTACTCAACTTGTCCAAGCGAGTGAAGGAGGTTCTGGATCTGAGGTGTAGACCACACCCTGGAATTGGCGGGACAGACAGGCTTAGCACTATGTTGTTACCCACTGTCCTTGGTAGAGGTGGGGATTGGGAGTAGGGAGCATGACTTTCAGCATCTGCTTTTCCCAGGGTTTAAAGCAAGAGTTGAAGATTGTGCCTAAGGGTGGAAGCAAACGGGAAGCCAGAAAAGTGCCAGTTGATGGCAATTAAGCTAAAACAAACAAGAAAGCAAATCAAAGGTTAATTTGCCCATGATCACTCATTTACCCTTGGGTTCTGAGAAAAGCATTTAATTAAAATTTTTTTTTTTTTTTTTAAAGACAGGTCTTGCTCTGTCACCCAGGCTGGAGTGCAGTGGCCCGATCACAGCTCACTGCAGCCTTGAGCCTCCTGGGCTCAAGAAATCCTCCTGCCTCAGCCTCTCAAGTAGCTGGGACTACAGGTGTGTGCACCACTACGCCTAGCTCTTAATCAAACTTTTGTGGTTTTTTTGTTTGTTTTTTTGTTTGTTTTTGAGACGGAGTCTCACTGTGTTGCCCAGGCTAGAGTGCAATGGCGTGATCTCGGCTCACTGCAACCTCCACCTCCTGAGTTCAAGCAATTTTCCTGCCTCAGCCTCCAGCATAGCTGGGATTACAGGCATGCATGACCACGCCTGGCTAATTTTTTGTAGTTTTAGCAGGGACAAGGTTTCACCACGTTGGCCAGGCTGGTCTTGAACTCCCGACCTCAGGTGATCCACCTACCTAGGCCTCCCAATGTGTGGGGATTACAGGCATAAGCCACTATGCCCAGCCCTTAATCAAACTTTTAAGAAAAGTGACATCCAGATGATCAGCCTTAGTCTTCTAAATCTCATTGTGGGTCTGAAGTTAAATGCCTAGTGCACATCTGCATTCTCACCTGCCCAGCACCCGTTCCCCCTTCTGGTAACAGTGCTCTGGCCTTCCACATGCAACCATCTGTCTCCCTTTCTCAGTCCATGAGGGCTGGGGGGGGCTAACCCCCAGTCTCTTTCCCCTTCCCCCATGTCTTTTTTTTTTTTTTTTTTTGCCCCAGAAGTGAGCACTAGTTCCAGGCCTAGTCAGATAGTATATTTCATCTCCTTGGCTATGTTGATTGGTGTAAATTGGTCAATGGGAGTCAGTCCCAGGATTTGGAAATTGTGCAGGGAACAGGAAGTGAGGTTCCTTTCTACTGGAGCTGCTGATCACCACCTTCCTACGCCTGAAGAGAGATGTCCCGCGAATAAAACCAACTGAGAGGAAAGCAGAGCCCACAGGCCTAGAGGTGACATCATCTGAGCACCTGGATCCAGCTGTGGCTTGGGTTTTCATTTATGTAGGTTAGTAAATGCCTTTTTTAGCTTAAGCCAATTTACATTGGAGGTCTATCATTTGCAACTGAAAGGGTTCTAACAAATACAGATGGAATGAGTGAAAGGGGGCAAAGAATTAAACCTACGCCCGTTACCTTCTTGCTGTTTTCTGTTAGCCACTGAATTCTCTCTTGATAGACTTCAATAGTGCTGTCAAGACATCAGAAAGACTCATCACCCAAGGTCAGTATCCTCACTGAGCAACAACAGCCACTTACATACGCAAAAGGCAGGTATGAATATTTTTTTTTTAATGTGCATAGGGTCTTGGAAGAAGGTGGTGAACATTTTAAGTGCACTGTAGTGCACGCCTGTAGTCCTGGCTACTCAGGAGGCTGACTTGATCACTTGAGGCCAGGAGTTCAAGACCAGCTTGAACAACCTAGTGAAACCCTGTCTCTACAAAAAATACAAAAATTTGCTGGATATGGTGGTGCATGCCTGTAGTCCCAGCTACTCAGGAGGCTGAGGTGGGAGGATCACTTGAGCCCAGGAGTTCAAGGCTGCATGGAGTTATGATTGTTCCACTGCACTCAAGCCTGAGTAAAATCAAGCAAAGACAAAACTGAAGATACTTGGTTTGCCAGGGCACTAGGTATAAGGGGATTGCAAAAGGGATGGAGTTTATAGGTGCTGCTCTACTGGTGACACAGTGCACAGGATAAATGACAATGGTTTGGTGGATCAAGTGGTGGAATCAGGCCCTCCCGGACTTCAACCTGCTCATCTAACCTCGTCTCCTTTCTCCACATAGCTCACTCTGTGCTCATTCTGCCCGGTGTGGACAGGTCTGTGGAGGATGGGGGAGGGTGTTCTTATGAGAAAGTTGGAAGACCACCCTTGCACTTGCTCGAATCTGTGGCTTCTCAGAAGAAATTGTTCCTAGTCTCCTGGAAACTGATCATAAAGGCACAACAGAGGCAGTTAAGCAATCATTTCCACTGGATTGATTAACAAAAAACCTAGTTTCTGAAAAGTAGCTGGGGGACCTTCTGGAAGTTGCCTTATTGCATGCCTGGCTGGAGACTAGCATATATCATGTGCACAAGGTAAGGACTCAGTCACTTGAATTTAATTGACTTGTCCTCACTGGGGGCAGGTGAGATTTGGGGGCCTAGAGAGGGACAAAAGAGGTCTTTGGAAATGAGATCATGGGGTAGGGGGTAGTAGATAGAGTCATAAGGGATACATGAGTTATGAATAGAGCTAAGAGGATGAGCTTTATTTTTATCTTCTTCTTATTTTTATTTGAGACAGGGTCTCATTCTGTTGCCCAGGCTGGAGTGCAGTGGTACGATCATGGCTCACTGCAGCTTCAACCTCCCTTGGCTCAGGTGATCCTCTCACCTCAGTCTTTAAGTAGCTGGAACTATAGATGCACACCATCACAACTGGCTAATTTTTATATTTTCTGTAGAGTTGGGGTTTCATAATTTTTCCCAGGCTGGTCTTGAACCCCTGAACTCAAGCGATCCTCCCGCCTCAACCTTCCAACGTGTTGCGATTACAGGCGTGAGCCACTGTGCCCAGTTGAAGATGAACTTTATAATAAAACATGTTTGTGTTCAAGATCTAGCTTTGCCATCTACTCGCTGTGTGACCTTGGACAGGTGTGGTAACCTTTCTGAGCCCCAGTTTCACCATCTCCAACATGAAGGTAACAACAGGATTTGTTACCTTCAATTTGCTAAAAGTCAATTTACTGAAAGCCAATCCTCCGAAAATCAATTTGCCAAATGACCAATTAGCTAAATAGACTTGAACATTCCTTAAAATGCTGGATTCACAATTAAAACTGATAAACCAAAATATTGCAGAATTCTTTAAAACCTGTTTCAGCTTCCAACCTAATAAAAGTTACTATAAATTCTACAGTTCAATGGTTTTGAGAAATTTGAGCAATTGGTCATTCCATGAATGGCCATTCAGCAATCAACTTCTGGTTAACTGGCTTGAGAGTAATGGTTTTATAAGGGGAAACCCCTTTCTCTTGATTCTCATTCTCTCTTTGCTGGCTGCCTTGTAAGATGTCCCTTTGCTCTTCCTTCATCTTCTGCCATGAATCATGTGGAACTGTGGGTCCATTAAACCTCTTTCTTCTTAAATTGCCCA